AGCCACGCATCAGAATCGGCTAATACACGGTACCGTATAGTTAACTGGGGATATTTATCAGAACAACTGGATAAATGTGACAAATGTGGTGTGGGTCGCCTGAACACGACGAACGAGAGGAGAGCTGGCTTGGGGTACTTGACAAGGATAAGATGTGATTACTGTCAGGAAACAAATGTCGTTCGGACCGATGAAGTTCATACTGAGATTAACCAACGATGGCCAAAACGCTTCAAACTGAACGAACGCTGTGCTCTTGGTACCCTTCATTCTGGGAATGGAAATACGCAGCTGGAACATCTTCTTTCACCAATGGATGTGAAATCCATGACTTCAAAAACCTACAATAGTATCGAGAGAAGGGTGGGACCGCAAATTGAAAAGGTAGCAAGAACAAGTTTCTCTAACTGGCTTGATCAGGAAGTAAAGAGCACTGACGGGAACAACGACCTCGCAATCTCCTACGATATGGGGTGGCAGAAAAGGGGGAATGCTAGGAACTCACAGACAGGACAACGCACTGCTGCTGTGCGAGCTACGGGTAAAATTTGTGACTTCGAAACAAGGAACACCGCCTGCCGAATATGTGAGAGTGCGTCCAAGTCAGGAAAGCGGCCACATACTCACAACTGTCGAAAGAATCATACTGGCACTTCCAAGTCAATGGAGGCAGGGGCAGTAGCAGAAATCTACGAGCGTGCCAAAGCGTGTGGTATTCGCTACTCTACCTTTATAGGAGACGAACATAGCACCACCATCGCTCGAGTTAGACAAGTTGCTGGTAAGTTTGCAAACCAAAATTTACTATTCCACAAATAGCTGGAATGAATGCATGTTACCTAATCTTGAAAAGGGTAAATACGACCTTTTTTAAGACCGATATTCAATCTCTTATCAGATTATGACGTAGGAAAACATGCTGATTTCACCCATGTAAAACGAGGATTTGGAGGTGACCTGTACAAAGCTAGATCGCAGATCCCAGCGGGAAGCAAAACCCTACTTTCAGATGCTGTTATATCATACCTTGAGAAGTGCTTTGCCTATGCAACTTTATCAAAACAAAGACAACGAAAAAGGACTGAAACAATCTCTCGAGGCCATAGTCCCCCACGCCTTCGGCGACCACGCAAAATGCAGTTTGGAATGGTGTGGAAGGTTAAAAAATCCCGCGGGATATAAACACGTGGGCCTACCAGATGGTAAGGATTTACAAGGCGCCGCCCTCAAGAAGTGTCTTACTGATGTAATTCAAAAATATGCAACGCCAGACATGCTGAAAAAGATAGCACCACTTTCATCCTCTCAAAAAAATGAAACAGCAAACAGCGTAATCGGGACAAAGTCTCTGAAGATCAGATACTACGGGGGGAGCGAAAGTAACGACTATAGGATTGCAGCAGGTGTTGCACAAGTGAATGAAGGTAAAACTGTTGGCGTAAATTTACTAATCAATGTCAATGGTAAATGGAATGCTGTAAAATTGGGGGAAAATTGGCGTATCATTTCTAGCGTTTCATGTTGTTAACGAAAGCGGGGCGGTATATCTGCGACCATTACTGTTCAGTGTTAAAAATTCGTAGCTCCAAAAAATATTTTGCAACCCCTACTAAGACAAGGGTCATAGATGATGGTAGGCGAAGAAAGGGTGGGGGATCAGTATTTTACTTAGGGTCACAGAGTGGAGCAGGTATGGCATTATCTATATAGAAGGGATTGAAAAGCTTCAGTGGGTGATCGTTTTTCCAGTGAGCGACTGCACAGACATACGTTTTAGTTATCAAGCTAAAAAAATGTAATTTTCCATATTTCAGGATACAGTTATGTTCAAAGAGTTATGAAAACATGGATATCGAGAGCGGTGAAGTCTGCAAGCAATACGTAGAACGTATGTCCGCTAGGCAATCTCAGGACAAAGAAAGAAAGTCATCAAAGCAGTTCAAACACCAAAGAAAAATGCTACATGCATCTGGCTTGTAGAGCGAAAGGGAAAGAAGGTGACAAGAGGGAGGGAATAACGTATTGCTCAGGCATCGCAACAGAGCTGAGTACCCTGCAAGACGAAATTTGCGAAACTATCCTAAACATCAACATGCGTGACGTAGAAAAAGTCCGAAAAAGACGCTGAGCTACCAGCGAACAGAGTACCACCGCCACCAGTAGATAAACCACCCAGAGATTCCGCCATAATCTATTTTGATGTGGAAACAGCAAGTCGAACCAAAAACTGCGAGATTTTGCAGTTAGCGGCAGTCTCTAAGCACTCTTCGTTCTTATCTTATATCACTCCAACTTTTGATATTGCTACATCTGCAACAGCAGTTCACAGCTTACGTGTCGCATATAATAATGAGGGAAAAAGGTGCTTGTCAAAGAAGGGGGTACTTCTGGAAACGTGCCCCAAAGTGGAAGCATTTAATAACTTCCTCTCATTCTTGGAATCAATGAAGCACCCCTGTATCCTCATCGGACACAACGCCACAGTTTTTGATACACCAAGGCCGCTGTATCAAATCTCATTGTGTGAAAGGGAATTGGGAAGGGGACTCAAAATGCCTATATTTTTTGCAGACAGTTTGCCCTCTCTAGAAAAGGAAACATGGCTTCCTCAATCGAAGACACTTGGTTCCATCTACCATCACGTAACAGGGAACTCATTTAATACACATGATGCGCTTGAAGACTCGACAGCATTGCAACAGATTATGGATGACGAACGACTAAATTCCTGCGTCTCTGCAATTGTCGATAATGCTGTCCATATAAAGGCAGCATTTTACAACATGAAAGTAAAAGCGGAGACATCACAGAGGGTATCTACATTCAAACGAAATATGGACACTTTGCTGTCCTCCTATATGGTAGAAACGATGGCAAAGGCGGGTCTAATAAAAAAAGCCATCAAGAACGTTCATGCCATTTCTGGCATGAAGGGCGTTGTTGCTCTCCTGACTGGAGCACGAGAGGGTCGAGAAGCAAGAGTGACCAGCAACATAGAAGTCCTGACAAAGGTCGTTTCCTTTTCAAATAAGCAATAATACAAGTTATAATATAAGTTAACGTTTCTTTCAGTATCTAATTGGTCAAAGACGCCTCTATACTTTGACTTTTAAATAATTTGTTTACGAAGAACATGTAAAAAAAAAAGAAAAGAAAAAACAAAGAAAAATCACTACACTGAAAATGAAACAGAAGACAAAACACGGTTTGCAAACTAAATGTCTAATTATGTTTTATACACACTGTTATAGGACTAATAGGAGCAAAAAAAGGTTTTGTTAATGACTGATATAATCATCGGAAAAGGCTTATAAGGCCCCTAACAAAACAAGGGCAAATTATGCCATAAATTTGATAGTAAATAGATTTCCATATGTAAATATTAACTATTATCCCCAAGTGGTATACTGCACGTGAGCATGTGATAGGAAAGTCAGCGATCTTAAATATATTATCGTGCGAGAGGGTTTTCATTGCTGTTGAAAATTGGATGGCGAGGTGTTCTCAAACTAGCGGGCTTATTTCTCCTCAGAACGAGAACCTTTGAAGCTAAAAATTGCCAAGCGATTTCTGCAGATGCTGTGTTTTGTTTTCTTAATATTTTTGTCGATAATGAACGGACAAATGCAGAGTAAGTTGGATAAATAGAATATATTTAATTTCAACGCGCATGTAGCAGAAAGTTGGTTGTATTAAAGCGCTAACTGTGTTCGCGGTAATTGTCTGATTACTCATTTTCTTCCAACAATGCTTTGGGTAAGAACAACGTTTCAGTTAAGAGGTAGTTTGTCAGCTCTCTTCCGCTATTTGTGCGTTTACGTTCACAAATGTGTTAGCCTATTATTTTAGTACTAAATTTGACCAACATTTTGTGGAGCGATTTCTACGGTCACGATTGCCTTCAAACTTGCAGACATAAAACTAGAGAGCTTTGAGGCTTATTTGCTGAAGTTAGGGAAAAATCTGTCGTGGGATTTCGACGTTATTTTCCTTTTTCGTGAAAATCAGGTTTTAAATATATGCCGATATCTCAAAAGTTTTTATACCTATAAGAAAATAAATAACATTTTCTTAAAGTTCCATCATTATTTATTAAGGATGCAAAAAATCGTAGAAATCGGTTGAATCTTTCACTCTGAAAAACGCTAATCAAAAACATAACCAACACGCATATGGGCCTCACAGCGCATGCTCTTTGGTCTAACCAAAATATATCTACTTCATCGCGAAAGTCTTGTGCTGCTTCGGTATTAGAACTGAAGAAATTCAGTTAACGGCCTTGAGGAATTTTCAGGTATCCAAGGCTTTTGAGGTCGCTGGTGAGAAAATACCGTTAAACGTTCCCAATCACAGATTTGAGACTTGAAGTTTGCATATGCTTGACAGTTCATTAAATATTTCTGTGGACTACTTCACGAGGCGGTAAGTCAAACCCGAATGGCTTGTTAAGATAAACGTATCGAAATTCCAAGAATAAAACTTTCCAAAATATGAATTTAGCGTCCTTTTATTTATCTTTGTTCGCGAACATTAACAATTCAGCGAAGCCGCGGCTTTGAAATGCGATATCGTGGGAAAAGAAGACAAGTATAAATATCTAGTCGCATTGTAGACGCATCACTTTAGGGAACGATTTACTTTTTCTGTTTTTTTTTTTTTTTTTTTCTTGCAAGTCTGTTTTTGGGAAATTTACGACAAGAAGCTCAAGTTTTCATTCATACGCGGCTACTTCGTGTGAATACGATAACGTGGAAGTCAAAGACAAATCAGTAATGTGTCATGCTTCTTTTAAGAAAAAAAAATACACTGACATCTTTGCCAGCTATAATTTTTATTTTATTTTATTTTTTCACATTCAAATCTTTTTCTGATTCAATTTCCGATATGTAGCTAAGCTATTCTATTTGAAAATTGGAAAATCCAGTAATTCTGCCTAATTAGAAGTGCAAATATTGTTTTGGAATCGCTGAAATCAAGAATCGGCCGGTCGAGTTTACTTCAACAACAGCATTTCTAGGGAAAACCCGCTCACACGCCAGACACGCCGCACGTTCAACCGCTCTCGTGCAAACTTGAATGGACCAATCAGAAACACTTTTATTGTTTTTTGCTGAAACCAAGCAGAGACAATCTTGCTCTAGGGTTCCCTAGAGCTCTTGATCTCTCTCCTCTACATGCGCAGAAGAGCTCTGGGTCGAGATTGTATTGAGCACTTTTAGCGGGAACTGAGCACGCGTAGTGAGTTTGGCCTCTGTGTGGGGAAAGAGATTGAGGGGACAAGTGACTCTGGGGCGAGAATGAAATTCTTGTCTGTTTCTGACTTCCAGGTTTCTGAGCGGCTTGCAAACGAAGCCGACCCTCTCTCCTCCACAGAGGCCTCTTTAGTCTTCTCTTCGTACGGGCTTGGAAATGGGCAGAGGTGAAAAGTAAGCACGCGGAGCCTGGCCGGGAAGAAGAAGAACGAGGCACGCTAGGGATTCCCGTCTTCCTTCGCGCTCCCCCTATTCTTCATTTTTCCGGTCTTTCGCCTTTCCCGGCGATTTTCGCCTTTTCCCACTCCACTGAAGGAGCCTCTGTTTTCAAGATGGCGGCTTCGCCGGCCATGTCTTTTTTTTCCATCCTCACAAAATTTAAACGGGTCAAAAGTTTTATTTCGTGGACTGGGACGAGCAATGGCGGCGTAAAGACGCTTATTGGGGCTGTCCGCAGTTTCTTCTGATATCTGAGGTCCCAGTAACGGCAAATGGCCGAATTCATAACTGAACTACTAGGAAAAAGGAGAAACAGGTTATCCACCAGTTCAGACGACTCAACCTCTTCACCTGACAACAAAAAAATCTCGAAAATCCCTCTCGACAGACGGAGAAATAGCCGAAGAAGACACAATCTTAACCGCGCTAGATATGACAGCAAACGTGGCAAAAAAGCTTGAAGAAATCCTTGAGCGTTTAAAAAAGCTCGTCGTGATAGAATCATCTATTAAAAGCATCGAGACAAAGCTCAACTGCCTAGAAGAGCGTACAGCAGTATTGGAAAATTTCAGACAAACTACGGAGAAAGACATTAACGATCTTAAAGAAAATGGAAATTTCACGAGCTCACAGTTATCTGAAATATCGACTGAGCTAAAAAATCACCAAGTTGCAATCACTGATTTAACGCAAAAGGCAGAGGCGAGTAAAGAGTTATTAAAGGAACTTACAGCAAAGAATCTCTACCTAGAAAGTTACTCCAGAAGAGAGAACATCAGGTTTATGAACATAGAAGATGGCTCCTCCGATGAACCCGAAGATGTCGAAGAAACCCTAAGAGATTTCTTAGAACGCGAACTGGGCTTCCACGACGCAAGAAGCGTGCATGGAAATCCGAAGAGTTCATCGAAGTGGAAAAAGCAAGAATGGAAAGCCCGGGCCAATACCGGCCCGTTTTCTGAGATACAAGGATGTCCAGAAAATATTCTCACTCGGGCACCGATTAAGAGAAACGGACTTCCAAATGTTCCGCGACTATCCTGCAGAAATTGTCAGAAGACGCAAAGAGCAGATGAAGACCTTCAAAGAGGCAAGAAGAAACAACATTCCTGCATTCTTCAGTCTATCGAAACCAGATAAGTTATTTATTAGAGGTCGAGTGTGGCCTGTAGGAAAAAAACTGATCATTAATCCTGAGACTGTTTCATAATTGTATTGCGGGGACAAATTTACTATTCTTTTTTTTTTCTTGCGGCTAGTCACCCCTTAGAGGTGCAAAGCGACAACCCAGCAAGAAAACATTTTAACTTTGTCTTTATGTTTTTTTTTTTCGATTTTTTTCTGTTTTGTTTTACTTTCAGTGCTTTGAAATATCTTTTTTCAGACCTTTCTGTACTAAACCGACACTCTATATCTCATTTGCACAAATCAGAATAATCTCTTATGCTATTTTTCTTTGGGTGAAAGTTGCCAGTTTCTTCTTTCTTCACAGCAACAAAAGAAATAGAACTTGCAATTGTTTCAATTAATGCTAGGGGATTAGGAGACAGAAGCAAGCGACGGGAATTCTTTAATTGGCTGGGGAAAAAACAAATGGCCATGTATTTTATTCAAGAAGCTCATTATACTGAAAATAATATGCATGACTGGCGAGCTGAATGGGGTTATCAGGCCCTTTTCAGTTGCTGCTCTAACAAAAAGGCAGGCGTTATCATATTGTTTAACAATTCTTTCACCTTTCAAATTTCGCGAACATACTGCGACCCTGGGGGACGCTATATAATCTCTGTGACTTGATTACAAATGGGAAACAATTAACCTTGGCAAATATATATGCTCCAAACAACGACGACCCAACTTTTTTTACCTCGGTCTTTGAGCGGTTAGCAGATTTTAAGTGCGATGGGGTCATAATTGGCGGGGACTATAATTTAGTCTTGGATGTTGAGAAAGATAAAAAGGCGGCCTTGCAAAAACCCACAAAAAATCGTTGGAAGTCATAAATAGCGTCTGGAGGATACAAAACCCCGAACAACGACGATTTACATGGAGACAAAAGAACCCCGAAATACAATGCAGACTTGACTTTTTTCTCGTAAGTCAATGCACATCTCGCAACTCAATCAACACAGATATAGCCCCTGGTTATAAGACATCATTTACTGGCCACGTTGCAAATTTCGACGCATAATAACATGAGAGGACGGGGCTTCTGGAAACTAAATACCTCATTCCTAAAGGACGAAGAATATATAAAGAAAATACAATCAATTATAACTCAAACTAAAGATGAATATGCACTGGATAATACTGTCGATCCAAACTTAATGTGGGAAATGATAAAAATGAAAATTATAGAGACATCAATTGAGTTTGGCAGAACAAATAAGAGAAAAATGTTTCAAAAACAAGATGATATAGAAAAGACAATCAAAATCCTGGAGGAGCAGACCGCTAACATTGATGCCACTGACTGCCAAAATGTATGGTCAGAGTTAGAAAAGAAAAGACGGGAACTTGAAACCATAATCGAATACCAGACAAAAGGGGCTTTTCTAAGATCTAAATCGCGATGGTACAATGAGGGCGAAAAAAACACTAAATACTTTCTAAACTTAAAGAAGAGACACTGCAAACAAGGAACAATTACCCAATTGAAAGTTAATGACAAACTGACTTAATCCAATCCGACAGGGAAATCTTACACGGGTGCGAGACCTTTTATAAAAATCTCTACGGTTCAAAAGTACAAGTTAACGATTACCCGGAAGTTTTCTTTCCACCTACACTAGAAGTATTAAGTGAAGAAAGAAAACAGTATTGTGAGGGTCTTTAAAGTTCCAAAGAGTGTTTGGAAGCATTAAACGGTATGGCCACGGAAAAAAACACCTGGTACTGATGGCTTGCCGTGTGAATTTTATAAAGTTTTTTGGAAAGACGTAGGCGAAACACTAACAGAGGTCCTGAACTTCTCCTACCAAACAGGAAAACTCGCTGTATCACAAAGGGGAGGAATTGTCAAGCTTATACCAAAGAAGGACGCAGATCCCAACCTGGTTAAAAATTGGCGCCCATTGACACTATTAAACTGCGATTATAAGATTGCATCAAAGGCTATTGCAAATCGAATCAAAATAGTTTTACCGGAACTTATATCAGAAGATCAGTCAGGCTTCATTAAAAACAGATGTATCAGTGACAATATACGCACATTAGATAGCGCTATTAAGTATGCAGAAAACAAAGGGTTACCCGGTCTACTTCTTTTCCTCGATGTTGAAAAAGCTTTTGACACGTTAGAGTGGTGATTCATAAACCAAACGTTACGGCACTTTGGGTTTGGCCCCTCACTGTTAAACTGGGTTGAGCTATTTTACTGCAGTACCGAAAGCTGTATACTAAACAATGGATGGGCAAGCAATTTCTTTGAGTTAAGTCGAGGTGTTAGACAAGGCTGCCCCCTATCGCCTTATCTCTTCATACTGTCCGTAGAAATTCTCGCTGAAGCTATTCGCAATAAGAAAGAAATAAAGGGTATCAAAATCTATAATACCAAAGTTAAAGTAAGTCAATGTGCGGATGACACGATACTCATTTTAGATGGAACTGAAGAATCAGTAAGAGCGTCACTGTTACTGATAGAAGCATTTGGGAACATATCTGGCCTAAGGCTGAACAATGAGAAAACAGAGGTCTTGTGGATAGGTTCTAAAAGAAACTGCAACCTAAAACTCTGTCCGGAAAAAAATTTTAAATGGCAAAAGGGAAAGGTCAAAGCACTAGGCGTGTGGCCCTCTAAGGATCACCAGTTAACACTCTCTTTCAATTACAACGAGAAATTGGCGAAAGTCCAAGCTATCTTGGGATGCTGGAAATTTAGAAGACTTAGCTTTATAATAGGGAAAATAACAGTACTAAAAAGCCTTGTAGAATCCCAACTAGTCTATATACTCACGCCTTTGCAAACGAATCACCAAGCAATAAAAGAGATCAGCAAGCTTTTTTTCAATTTCTTATGGAACGGCAAAAAGGATAAAATTAAACGCTCGATCATGATCAATGACTACCAAGAAGGAGGACTAAAAATGATTGATATTGCCTCTTTTAATAAATCACTCAAGGCTACCTGAATTAAAAAGTATCTAGATTCAGGAAACCGTGGAAAATGGAAAAACTTCTTTAATCTGGCGCTAGGAAAATACGGAGGAAGTCTTTTTTTCGAATTAGGAACTCTTAACAGGAAGGATATTGATAAGCTAAAGATAGAAGACACTTTTATCAAAGAAATTGTAGAAATTTGGTCTGACACTTTCTTCGAGAGGAAAATAGTATCAAAAGATCATTTTCTATCTCTACCTCTGTTACAAAATTCATTAATAAGAATAAATAACGCACCAGTTTTCTGCAATAATTGGCTTACCAAGGGTATAACAAAAGTTAAACATCTAATGGACGAGAATTCTCTCAACTTTTTTTCCCTTGACCATTTTCAGAATAGATATAATATTCGAGTAAAACCCTTAATGTTTTTCGGAATCGTGTCAGCCGTGAAATCTTTACAACGACAAATCCCGAGAACACATCAGCAGTATGAAAGTCCTTTTAACACATTTAACACATCATCTAGAATTGCTTACAAGCAACTAATAGCAAATAAAAGTGAAAAACCCATATCTTGTATAGACAAATGGCATAAAGACATCCACTCTTCAACCGATAAAAATGTTGACTGGAGAAACGTTTTTCAAGCAGCAAACACTTGTACAACGAACTCAAAACTAATTGATTTTAATTTCAGATTTTTACATAGACGTTTACCAACTAACAGCTATCTGCAAAAAATAGGAGTTAAAGAGGACGGAAAATGTACTTTTTGCCATGACGAGAAAGAGGATTTGACGCATTTATTTTGGAAATGCCAAAAAACCAAAAATTTTTGGGATAATTTCTCGATATGGCTTCAGTCGTGCCAGATCCTCCAACCAGGCAGTTACTTAGACATGACTACCGCTTTGGGCCTAACGCCAGACAGTTCTTCCTTTAAGCTCCATATAAACTTGTGTTGTCTTATAGCTAAGAACTTTATCTGGATATGCAGATCAAAAGAATGTTTCCCAATTCACAACAATTTCTTGTTTTATCTGAGACATATATACCAATTAGAAAATAAGACACCGAGCAATACAAAAAAATGGAAACCTTTCTTTTCCTCGCTGGGTCTTGTCTCCTAACTCCAAAAACATAAATTAGTAATATCTGCACCTACCATGAATATTTATATTACTTTCACCACAAAGAAAGCAAAAAAAAAAATTGTAAAAATTAATTATAGATCATACTAAGTACAGTAGTATATGGAATTAGCACTGCTGTAATCTAGTTTAATATTTGTAAGTATTGCCATGTAAGTGTGTAAATTCGCTATTTGTTTTTTTTTTCTTTGTATTACTTTATTTCTTCTGTGTAATTTTTTTTTCTTTTCTGTGTGTGTTTTACTTACAATAAAAAAAAGGCTTTATTTCGCAGTAAAATATCCGCCGTAATTTTAATTTTCTTTGTCAAATAGGATGCCAAGGTTAAGAAGCTATTTGAGCTGTTGTCCAACAAGACTGGGATACCAGCGGAAGGATCACGTTTACTTTTCGGCGGCAAACAGTTGGATGACGATGATAAACTAATATCGGACTACGGCATCGAAAAACGGTCAACACTATTCCTTGTTTTCCGACTGCGTGGCGGCTCAGACCAGATCCGCGTGAAAGTGTTGGATGACACAGTGGAGCTCAGCGATGCCCCGGATATGATCACGTGGGATGACGACCCTGACAACAAAAGGGTCAAGATGCCTTGCGGGCATGCGATAAGTAAGAGCTTCATTACCTTAATTTTTTCATCGTTGATGCAAGATTTAAACAAGGTTTAGCATGTGATCAAAACTGGTAACAATTAGGCTGGGACAACTCTATACGCGTTACCACCTTGCTGAGAATCACACGTTAACTAACTTTTGCTTCCCCTTCCTCCATCTTTCCTTCAAATGGCCAGCCCTTGAAATTTATAAATGTAAAGTTTCGTTAAAATGGACAAACGCTGAACCTCTGTTGGGGAAAAATCTGCAAACAAAATAGCTTTTTGGACCCGGAATGGCTTAGGAAGTTCAGTGAGAAATAGAGAGCTTCACATCTTTCAGGAGACGGGGAGAAGTCAGATTATCACCATGGCAACAACCCTAAATCAGGCAGCTTTATCGTTGCAGTTTAGATATCTTCAAGTAAAGCCTGTATTAATGTGTTTATCTCTTAGCTCCAGAATCACTGACCCTATATTGCCGCAGCATCTTGACCGAAGGAAAATGGCGATTTATGTGTCCGTACATTAGCCAAGACCAGCCACCGAGACATTGTAACAACGAATGGGATTACCTCGACGTTCGGCGCTTGGCCGTTTTGACAGAGAAAGAGAAGGAGGAGTTTGAGGAGCAGATCGCCAAGAACCAGTTTAAGGCTATCGGCATTCACGAATGTCCAAAATGCAAGTCAATGGTGGAGAGAGAAAACAAAAAGGAGATACGGCTGACCTGCATTCCGTGTAGCAAGAAGGGAGAAAGGTACGAGTTCTGCTGGCATTGTCTGAACAGGTGGTACAACGGCTCCAGCAGGACTCAGTGTGGTAAGACTTAAGTGATAGTGATAACAACAAGGAGTGTTCCTTAAAAGTTATGGGGTAATGAGCGTTCTTTGGTATTGCTCAGAAATTTAGGTTTACGCTAAACTGCTGGCTATCAGGTAAAAAAAAATATTCAAGAACAAGCAGGGAAGCAGTTCTTGCAAGGTTTCACTTCAATGGCTCACTACCCTTCCAAAGAAAATAGAGAAAATGACAGCATCAATTTTTCCTTAGCACCCAAAACAATAACAAATGTAGCACTAGATGCCTAGTTGAATTACAAGCTTACGAAAGCTGCTACGCTTTTGAGCTTTGGAAATTCTGGTCACAAAACAAACTAGAATGTTTCACATGGATGGCTTGCAACCCTTAAATGCCCCCAGCCCCCAAAACACTAGCAACTGCTACACTAAAGGAGGGCCAGTATATTAAAAAGTTGTATATTTTAAAGGGAGCTGCTAAACACTCGGGGGACTAGGAGAATTCTCGAAAGATGCAAACTTTTGACTGCGTCTCGGGTTTACATAACTGCCTCAAATTCTTCCAACCCCCTTCGTGTTTAGACGAGGCTATGTAAACACGGGAGAAGTCACCTATTACTTAAATGGTGCACGCGGGTAGTTTGGAGAGCACGAAAAAAAAGGGTCAGAGTTGCTCGAGGCGATAGCAGTAGCCTGCGTAACATGGCGGTTTTGTCGAGCCAGGCACACGAGCGGCGAAGCCGCGAGAAAAAGTTGCTCCCGCCCTAATCTCCTCGCGGTTTCTCTGCCCTCGCCCGCCTTTATTACTTAGCGCGCCCAACCAAAACCGCCATGCTACGCAGGCTACGATAGCAGAAGCAACTCTAACCTCCTGAGTGCTCGCGAAATTTCCCAAATGCACGATAGCTCGATAAAGTGTAATTGTGCACAACTAAAAACATTAACCAACTGTTTTATAACACATTGCCGGTGGAAATGTGCATCCAAACCGAAGCCAAAACTCGCGCAAAAAAAAATTCTAGCGACGCGATTTGCTAAAGTCATCAGCGCGCGCCATTGCATTTTGTGCAATGTTACTGAATTTGATTGCGCGGCTCTGCTGGCTATGTTATAAATAGTATTAGTTAAGATTTCACCCGTCCGATTTCTTTATTCATTATTTTACTGGTTTACTTTTTAGGAAACGCTGACTGTTCCGGTGAAGACAAGCGTCTCAAGGCTCTACGTGATTCCCCTAGGAAAAAAATAGGGGAAGTCGAGGGTTGCCCCTCCATCCGAGCATGTGTGTTTTGCGGCACGCTGATTGAGCACACGGAAGCTTGTAAGCACATGCACTGCAAGTGCGGCAAAGATTTCTGCTTCATTTGTTTGAAGCCAAAAGAAAACAGTGGCTGGAAATGTGGAGGCTCTGGTGATTCCTGCCCAGTGGCACCTGTCCAAACCATGATTCCTGGAGTATAAACTGGAAACGTTGTTGGGGCACCAACTCTAGTTCGACAAATGCTCGTATTTAGAGAATAACAATTCTAGAAAATTAGAAACTTCTATTAACTGCCCAGAATCGAACACAGACTCGTACCCAGTCGCTATTTATGAGACCCCGCGCGCCTCAACCTAACCCCCAATCTTCTCTCACCCCAAAAACACGAAAATAGCGACTGGGTACGAGTCTGAGTCGAACAGAGGTCCAAAAGTACATCGATATACGGTCAGAAGCATACAGTAATTTGATTTTTTTGCCGGTGTAGCGAGTGTCCGTTTCTTAAACGTTTCCTAAAGGGACACGATGCCATTTCAGGGACACTTAGACATTAGAAACACTTATACCCCATTAACAGCAAAGTTTCAACGCGTTTAAAAACTGTTTACTTAAACATGGTTTAAAATTGTTTTCTTTATACAAGTCACTAACTGACTTTTGTCGACTTCAAATTCAACACAATGAAAACACACAGAATTTTTTCAGATTCATAAATGTGTCCGGATTTACTCTATTAGGGTGTTCTGATTTATAGGCATTTGTAGTACATTCATTCGGATCCAAAGTATTCTCTTCAGATTTCGAATTCAAAATGTCTAAAAACGCGACCATAACGAGACGTTTTTTTCTCAGTTTCATGCATCTGTGTATAAACGTCGTAAACGGCGAAAAAATGCAGCAAAATGGCCGTGTTTGTCACAAGTCGGAAATAAATCTCCGCTAGTTTAAACCTTGCCTTAAAATCACATTACTTTTCAAGGCAAACTTTACAAGACAAGCATTCGAATGAGTCATGGAACTGGTTCGTTAAGAGTAGCATCCCAGGGACTCTCTTGTCCGTTTTTGAAAACTTTCACCACCGTTTTTCCCGACCCGACTGACCGCCCCTGGGTCTCCAAGTAGATCAAGAGTATACTCCACATGCTATTTACCCAGTGGTGAAAGGGGTATTTCGGGTCTTATTCGTTTGAAATATAATGGTTACGTAAATATAGATAGAGAGTTAAAAACATTCAGTAAAAGAAGTTGAGAACTACTAACAAGGCACTATTTTCAATCTTATTGTCTAAAAAAACCACTCCGTTATAACCAATGATCATAAAATGGGTTATCAACTCTTCAGTAAAACTTCGACTCAGCTCTTAACGACAAAAAGCTGCTAAATTATGATTGAAAACATTTTTTGATGCCTCAGCTGCTTATAAAACGCAAGCATTTATGAGCATTTATTAACATGCAAACAAGAAAAACGAGTCTCTTCAATTTCTTGTGAATGGCAGTAATAAAAAAATTAGTGGAAAAAGCTTTGTCTAAACCTTAAATAAAATGATCATAAATGATTTTGCAATGAATAAGCCGAATGATATCCTGATCTTGAAAGTGTCCGTCTGAACTAGTGTTCGGTTTTTTCGTAGTTAACTGACAAAGTAAAACAGGTCTTTTATCACCTGCACCTACGAGGAAAAAAAACAGACTGTTAGAAACCTATTAAGGCCACTAGTGTTGTCATTATCTGCGGTAACGTTGCATACAAAGAGTTTGCTATCGCCGGAATAATAGAATCTGATAAAACAGTCAGTTTACAAGACAAAATTACATTAGGGATCGGAACTACATAATTGAAAGTATTAAGAAATAATTGCGGTCAAATTTAAAAGGGTCATTTCTTAACAAAATTATATGATTATACAGTGATCCTACTAACAGATAGTACCAGCTATTATTGGAAAGAGGCAAGATAAAGCGAAATGTGACCATTTTTCCTTTGCTTATTGGAATCCGACTTACAATACGAGGAGCCGTTTATTTAGGTCAATTGCCCTTCTTTTAAATCAGTTGAAGAGTGCAAATGATAAACAGAGATAGAAAAACTTCATAACGGTGGTAAAACAACAGAAGGTTTAATGTGTAACTTGGCCGGCGAGGTTACCGTAGTGTAATGTTTTTTCTCCCCGGTCTTACTAAAAACAAACTTAGTTATACAGTACTCGCTTTCTTTTATGATCATTTCTGTTGAAATGATGTTTGAATAAGAGCCTTCAGGATGATTAACTAAATAAATGACGTCATCATTTCTTCATTGCTTTTGTTAAAGATAATTAGTGTGTTAGCCCAGGAGCCGATTACTTGGGGCCTTCATATGTGCTGTACCCGTGAGTCAACCCATTACCGTAAAGAATTATTTTTAGAGGCTAGTCGGCTCCTGGTGAGCCATTGAAGTAGATTTAGTCGAACTCCACTAACGGCCACTTTCTTTCGATGGACAGTCCTTTAAAGTTTTTTTTTTTGGCTTTTTTTTTAGAGGAAATAATGGTGAAAATGGGCTCAGCCAATAAATCCAACGATATAACATCATAATGACGTTACATTACGTAACTGTGTCAATCAAGGTTTATTCCTGGATATCGAAAGCAGCCGTGAGTACATTAGACAGTGCCATTTATCTGGCGCTATAAATGTACTTATTTATATATATCTCTCTCTCTTTACTTATGCTTCAGTTCATTTAGTAACATTTCTTAGTGTTATTAGTATGTAATTAAAGTATAATAGGATGTGTGGCCATAAATTCCTTGCAATAACGGTGTCGTTAACACTTATATAGGACATTTTACCTCGACGTAATGCATTGTGGTATCTATTTGCTTCCACTAAATTCTAACTTGACGTCATCGCCAATGAGTACGAATGGTGCCCAGAACTTGATTGCACTAAATTCCTCAGATTCTCTCATGCAGTTCATTGCTTGATTCAAGGCTTCACTCGCACTTCTCCCTTTCACAACATGCTGATAAAAATTTTTCATAAACTCTAGAGTGGCTTCATCATCAATCGCCCACAATGACACCAGAACAGAACGAGCACCAGCACCCAAAAATGCACGTGCTATACCGACCACACCTTCGGCTTTGATCTCCCCACGAGCACTGTGACAGCAACTGAGTACAACTAGTCTTGCTCGGATCTGAACGCGCAGTACATCCCTCATCGTCAAAATGCCCTTTTTCACACCTTTGTTCGACGCTAAGGCAATATCACCTGTTTCCATATTGCCATGTGCAGCCATGTGCACCAAGGCAACAGAACCGAGTCGTCTCAACACCTCATCCTTTGTGGCCTGTGTTCCAATTAGAGGTGTGCTGTTAAGCATTTTGCCAATCATTTCTACTTCCTCCCTGGCACATGGCAGCGGCGATAGCTCTGTCAAAGGATCACCCACGAGAAGAGCACCCGTGTTGTGATGATAATCTAGCGGACAGTCCGCAATCATTTTCAAACTTGTGAGGGATGGAGCCACGCGAATTTTGAATGACTCGCAAAGGTACTTGGAATCTGGGCCCTTGAATGCAGCAAAAGAGGCCAAGCAAAGTGGACCCTCAGGGACGAAGATGAGTTCGCTGCCTAAAAGTAGATCTTGAATAGGCTCAATGATGGTGTCATACAACGTACTCAAGGCACTTTTTTGGAGGTCCAACTCCTGGGTCTGTCTGTCGTCCTGAGGTGATCTCTTAGCTACCAAGCTTTCATCCCTCGCCAATTCGAGAGATCGATCTTCACACTTCAAAAGATTTCTTGTGCCAATTTCCTGTTGCAGGCCTTGTGAAAGAGCATGAAAAAATTTTTTCACCTTACACCGCGAAGTAAATTGTTTCTTTCTACATTCAACACCCTTTCCTTTCTGGCAGACCCAGAAGTTTAATTCTCCTTTTCCAAAGGATATAAAGATTGTATTTGTAGGTAGGTAACTTAACAGGTCATCGAATGATGTGGTTTCTGTTCCTGATCTAGCATCATTCCTTTCAAAGGCATAATTTAATTGAAGAAGATCTTTTAAGCCCTGCGCTCGAGCTTGCTCGGCAGAAAACAAAGCTTTTGTAACGTTACCTTCCGCCAATAACAAGCGCACAAGTGCACGGTACGCTGACCAGTATTGATGACGAAAACTTATTTTCCATTCGTCGTTTGATTGAAGACGCTCTCTGACACTATTTAACAAAGTGATACTGTGCTCGTAATACTCAATTGCCACTGGAACTTGGCCAAGTAACTCAAAAGACCCACCAAGATTTGAAGAAGCTAGTCCCTCTTCCAAACTATTGCCCGATTCTTTCGCTATTTCCAGATGACGTTTAAGATACTCGATGGCAGTTTTAAAATCTCCCAGATTGTCATATTGGTTGCCAAGATTACCATACGCACCACCTTCTCCTGATCTGTCACCCAGTTCTTTCGCAATTTTCAGATGACGTTCATGATAGTCTATGGCTGTTTTAGAATCTCCTAGAAGGCTATGAACATTGCCAAGATTACCATACGCCCCACCTTCTCCTGATCGGTCACCCAGATCTTTTGCAATTTTCAGATAACGTTCATAATAATCAATTGCCGTTTTTAAATCTCCCAGAGTCTGATGGGCAATACCAAGATTGCAATATGCATTTTTCTCTTCCAATATATTACCGAATTCTATCGCAATTTTCAAATGAAGTTCGTGGTACTTAATGGCGGTTTCAAAATCTCCCAGATTGGAATGTTCGTTGCCAAGACTGCCATATGCTCTACCTTCTCCTAACCTGTCACCCATTTCTTTTAAAATGTTCAGCTGTCTCTCGTGGCAATCTATAGCTGTTTTAAAACCTCCAAGACGGCTATGATCATTTCCAAGATTGCCATACGCTCTCCCCTCTCCTGATCTGTCTCCCAGTTCCTGCGCTATTTTCAGATGACGTTCATGATAGTCAATGGCAGTTTTAAAATCGCCAAGACTGAAAAAGGCGAGACCAAGATTGCCATACGCTCCTCCTTCTCCCCGTTTATAACCCCATTCTTTCGCCACTTTCAGGTGACGTTTATAGTAGTCTATGGCTGTTTCAAGGGATCCCAAACTGTGATAAGCAATGCCAAGGTTGCAATATGCCTTTCCTTCTCCCAAAGTGTCCCCCAATTCTTCCGCAATTTTTAGATGACGTTCATGGTAGTTAATGGCTGTTTTATAATCTCCGAGACCGTGATGAGCGTTGCCAAGCTTACAATACGCACTTGCTTCTCCGGATCTTTCACCCAATTCCTTCGCAATTTCCAAGAAACGTTCATAGTAGATGATGGCTTTTTTAAAATCTCCTACACCGCAATGGGCGTCGCCCGAATGTAAGTACGCGTTCCCTTGTTCGAATCGTTCCTCAAAGATGTTATTCGTGCTAAAATCGTTGACCTGACCAGTGGCAGTTTTCTGCAAAAATTAAAAAAACTACATGTTGCATTATAGTTTAAGTTACAATTTCCATTTGGAAATTAGGGCCCACGATGACGTCCGATACTTATTGATTAAAAACACTCGTTTTATGGTTCACACGATACATGGGAATTCAAAATAATTCCTAGTTTAAAAACAGGGCTAAAACATGCTTACCTCCATCGATCCATCGATGCTAAGTTCATCTTCGATAGTGCACGTTTAGGTTTGTCCAGCTCCGGAAATATTCTCCAAATAGCAGATGTCGCCCTTCGAGTTGTCTTCTTGCTGTTTTTGCCATGTTTTTAGCTTTTTTTCGCCTAGTTCTTACTCTTGAAATGAGTGAAATGTGGGCCATTTTTTGTTTACACAACCAAAACAACTCAACCTCCTCCCCAGGTCTTCTCGGTTAACGGTGCCTTAACCTGCACGAACGCGGCATTTTTGACGTCATTTCCTCTTTAAACACAAAATTCTTCCAAATTTGGTCATCAGAAACTGGTTATGGTGAAGTATGTGTGTGTATTTAGCCAATCAGAATCGGGGAAATATTTTAAATGAATAATAATTTTCATTATTTTGTCGGCTAAGTCCGAAATGGGGCAAGATGAAGCGATCCTGTGTTCTAATTGGCTACCCTAGAAGGCATGATGGGCCTATCTTGTCCGCTCTAGTTATCTTGACCTCACCCTTGATAACAGATATTACTAAAACGAGGAATGGGGTGCGGGCAACGGGGAGCGGGGATCGGGGAACTACCAAATAAATAATGGGAACAAAACCATCTTTGAACCTTTGCCGTACGACTAACTTTGTTTGCCAAGCTATGATTTGTTCCTATTTTTCATTTTCGCGTGTTCGTTCCCTAACATCCGGTCAATAACGCATCTTTCTCATAGATTCTAACCAAAGATAAAAACATCTAAATGAGGTTAACAGGCAGTCCTTGAAAGACAAACTTTTTTCTCGTTAATGTAAAAGCTAAAACAAATAATTTAGCCGTAGTTGTTTAAAATATTAACCGCAATATTTTCTCCCAGAAAAACATAGTCATTTTGAACTGAGCGTCAAGAAAGCTGCTTTTGACGAAGGCATGTCTTGACCCGTTGATAAATATATTCCGAGTATTGCAGCGTTCGTATTTGAATAGGGAAGTTAATTTCTAACTTGAAGAGCAAAAATCTTTTAACAAACATTGTATCGCTGGTAAAGGAAAGTGATTTACCCTAAACTTTATTGAAATGGAGTTCGTGGAAGAAGTGTGCAAGAGGGAGGGGTTTGAGTAGTGATACTTCCCGGAAGTGCTTCGTGTTTCAGAAACCGAGTTAACTACTGAACGTATGGGTCAATGCCTGGCTCGCAAAAATATTTAAACTATTGAGACAGTATGGTATCCTAGTTTTAGAAGCTTTGACATTGTGGTAAGGAAGGGGTTAGCATTTGTCATCTGTACTGTCGAAAGGTTTCCTTGGTGTTCCGAGCCCATTTCCAGAAGGTAGTGCTATTTTTTATCTTGTTCTCAGTCAGTATTTGGATATTACTGCCACTGCACGACTTAATTACTCACGCTCGTGACTGACCGACTTTACATTTCACACCCATTTATTGGGATCAACATTCGTTGTATATATATACTGTTCCATCTGCTTATCCAGGTAGTATGCACATGCAAACCTATTAAATGACCTGGCTCACCATGTCCTTAGATATCACGTAGTCTGCCTGGCAGGCACAAATAAAGTGGGGGGGGGGGTGGGGGTGGGGAATCGTGAGGGGGATGTCTCTTCCTTCTTTTCCCAGTCCCCTCTCCCTTTTTCTCTCTCCGTCCTTGTCCCCTTTTGATGCCTGGTATACAGGGTAATACCAAGAGACGTTTCGCAAAAATTTGCCCATTTGTCAAATTATAAAATTTTTGCATGGTAAGTATTTCTAACTCTTCACCTTTGTGTCATTGCTGTTTGATTAACAAAATTTACTTTACTTTCCCTGGCAAATAAATTAGTTTCTGTTTTAACTTTTAACTTGATACCAATTATTTTAAAATCATTTATCATTACCTTTTTTTCTTGCTTATCTCTCATTTCACGTTCTTCCTTCACAGATCGGCTCCGCAGTTTCAACAACTTCTGGTTGTTCGGATCGATCTTTTTTTTTTGTTAAGTTGTAAAATAATTCTTATGAATAATTAACCAAGCTAGAAAGCCATCTAACTTATCTCGAGTCACGCAACGTTTCATCGGTGATAACCCAACCAGTGTATTGCAAAGTACTTACAGCAGAGTACACAAAAGACTAAATAATCACTTAGGATTGCTCATCTAATGAAGGAGAAGTTTACAAAGGAGAGAGGTCAGTTCTCTCCTCGAAAGCAGCCGACTGATGTTCATTTAGACTTTAAATTGAAATCAGGATACGTTTTTAATATTGTTAAAAAAGAATAAAGAAAAATGATTTCAGCTCCAGTCAAGGATACTGCTAATCCCTTATCACACCATGTGATGGCTTCGTCGCACTTTTTCAACTGCACGCAGGCACTTGCCCCTGTAAATACAAAAAGTATAGTTCCGTCAATTAGCTACAACACACATGAGTTAATGATACTAAATATTGATTTGGGACAAACCATACGAAAATTTCTGGGAAAGAATTAGGGGCGTAAAGTAGTATTGTGTGGAAAAAAAAATACCTAAAGGCAAAATTTACTTTTACTGAAACATTTTTTGTCGAGCAGTCCTCATTACGGTGTCTTGCACTAATATAATGTAGAGACCAGAACGTTTTGGAGCCTGAGAGTCTGGGATTTTCGATAATTTGGTAGTACAAACTGCATATACCTACCCAGACATCTCTCAACATTTCGAGTGGTTTACCCTTACATTAAATGCGGTTTTTTAATTGGTAAAAACGTTTAGTAAGCTTAAACATTTTTCGTGATCGCTTGGACAGAAAGAGATCTGAGTTTGGTGACTGGATCATAGCTGACTTACCTCGCACAAAAGCTTTTAAAAGAGATGGCTGTAAGCCAGTGGCAATTTTTGCATCATTAAGCGATTCGGTGTAATCACCTGCCACAGAATGAACAATCGGTGAGAAACCAGCCATAAGAGGCAACCAACTACCTTTTTTCTGCTAAATAACTGTTCGAAATAGGATTTTATCTAGAAATTTCTAAAGCCTAAGGAAGGCTAAAAACGTCTGGAAATCAAAACAGACAAATCGTTTTTACGAGCAGTAACAAATTAACTAAAATGGCTTTTAAAACATAGAGGAAACCATCGAAGAATCTTCTGACGTATTCGTTGGGTGCCCCTGGATGCGTCTAGCATCTTTTCACCTGGGGAAAGGGGAGGGGGTTACTCAAAAAAGTTGCATACAGGGAGGCTCCGCCCCGAGGTCGGTCCAACCACTTACCCTTTTATAGACCATTTTTGACAAAAAAGGGGACCCTTTCGCATAACTTCTCGAGACGCTATTATAGGGAGTAACTCCCAGGGATGTCACCACACTGCTTGCACAAATCCAGTTCTGAAATCTTAAAGCAGTTTTTTAAAAACAGAAATGTCAAAAATGTGCTGCTGCCCTGTTGTTGTATAGTTTGGCGTTCAGCTCTTCATCTTTATAGCTGACTTTGATTCCTTCTGTGTAGTAGTAAATGGCATTATCAAAATGCTTCTTATTGTATTCATCGTTGCCTTCGTTCTTGTAAACCTCTGCAATTGCTAAAAGGTGACCGAAATTACAGAAACGTTAGTTTTGTTTTAATAATAAGAAAATGCTGTGATCATAAGTTTTTGTGTGTTATATTGACTTCCAAATTTATCAGCATTTCCATATTTAACTGAGCTTCTACTAAAGCTACCCGCATATTAAAACACAATTTTGGAATATATTTTAATTGATTTAGAAATAAAATCGCATAATTCTTCCTTCATGGTTTCAAAGACGAAGTTTCCATTAGCCACAATCTTGGGGTGGTGGGCGTATACTCCCTATGATAGGTCTGTCCGATTGTTAACATCTGTAAACCTCAGAAGAAGGCTGGTGTGGCCGGCCAAAATATATTTATGACTCAAAAATCAACACACGTTGTTATGATCAACTTTGCAGTAGTCTTTCGACTTCTCGTTTTTTAGTTCTGCCCAATTGTGCTCGTAAAATACTGGAAGTTGCCGACTGGAATGAAAAAAAATTGCTACCTGAATTTCAAAAGTTTAATGCTACGTAAATTTCTTGCTATTTTAAATTTAAACGTCAACCTTTATTCTCTGATCAGGGGCGGATCCAGGATTCTTTTTACGAGGGGGTGCACTGGTCTCTTGCTCTACTTCAACACCAATAAGCCACATATTTTTTTTTTTTGCAGAATACCAGTTGTATTAGAAAACCGCAGGTCATCTCAGGGGGGGGGGTGCGCACCCCCCTGCACCCTCCCCCTAGATCCGCCCCTGTTGATCTACACAATGATGGTTTACATCGATGAAGAAAAATAGCTTGAAAATTACTCTTAAAGTGTTGCTCGCGAATGTGGCGATACCACAAGCATCCCAAGCTCACTATGAAAACACTATGAGATCCCAGAACAACATTATACTTCTTATCTAGTAAGTAATTGTTCATATGAATACAATTATAAATTCTAGGACGTTGGTTAAAAATTATCCTTTTTGCTATAATTTATCGAAAAGTGCATTTACCTTTTTCCTTTTAAGCTTACATTTCGGTTGACAAACACTCAAGAAATTCGCATAACCTGAAGTTTTCTGTGTAATTTTGCTCAAAAAGTGCTCAAGACAGAAAGGCCGCAAAAGTTGCTCGAAGCTGCTTGGACCGCAAAAAGTTGCCACCAACGGCAAAAGTTGCTCAAAACTTGCCGACCTCAATCGGGACAGGCCTACCCTATGAAGGCCTAGAGAGAGGCCTCTCCCCTTATCTTTTTTAGCCTTCGGGCATGTAGAAGATTATAAAAGGCTAAATATTTAATTTCTTGAGTTGAAGTATATAGAAGGGTAGGGAAATTTGTCATTTAGGTATTACACCATATGGGTGTATAAATTTACTTTGTAAAACTCTACATAAAATGGGAAGAAGGCTTACTGTTGGTAGGCACCAATTTTCAATACAAAGGTACACAAAAGGTGTACCTTTTCTGCCCAACATTTTATAGAAAAGGGTAAGGGGGTGGACCTCGGGTGGAGCCTCTCCCGTATAAAACGTTCCTGAGTAGCCTCGGGCAACATACGACCACACACCTAAGAAGATAACGGTATCTGAAATAGTTAGCGGCCTATAGACTGACCGAGTACGATTTCCCTTCTGCCCGCGCCCTGATATTATGGAAAGCAAAGCACAATGAAAAGAACGTTAATCATTACCTCTCAAAGTTTCATCATCAAACTGCATTGTATCCTTATCAGTTGTAATATCACTTGTTTTTGAAGCTTCGATTGAATTTCTCGCCATGGTAACCTCTCATGACCTTTTTCCTAGCCTGCCAGTTGATAATTATTATGTCAGCTGATACAGCCGATCCTCCAGATTCTTGCCCTCAACGACGGTCTCCTTCAAAATACGTTGGAAAACACTTTTTAGGCTAGCTATAGTACTTTTAGATCTCAAGAAATGCATTCTCAGCAGCGCTTTGAAATTTGTATCTGTTTGGTCATCCTGGGGCATTCGAGTGTGTTCGAAATTATCAGAGCTCCAATATTAGTTTCCCGACAAGTTTAGATATACTATTTAACGTTTTCGAAATTGAGAATTTTTCTAATCCCTCTCCCTATTGCATTTTTGAATCCGAAAACTTTAGGTTTCCTTTTTACTGCAGTACGAAAAATAGCCTAACTTGAGGAGTAAAATGTGAAGAATAAAACTTCAGAAAATCGTAAGGAATTTATTACATAAGCTTCGAAAATTGTACATGAATGGAACAGTCATCTGGAAATTTTTTTGACGTCCTCAAGTAATAGAAAATTCTAGGCAATATTTGCTTCCGCTCGAACAGATATTTTACAGAAAGCAGTCGTTGGGTGCCCCTGATCCTCCCCTTGCACTTCTGAAAGCCATGTTTTTCAGGGTCTGAAAGAGGGTCCTCATACCGCACTACCGCTCCTCTCTAGGACAATCCCGCGGGATTCCCGCATCCCGAACTTCTGTCATCTCCATCCCGAAAATCGTTTTCTTTCCTAGTATCGCATCCCGTGCCAAGATTTAGGTGAATCTTGCTTCCTGAGCAGTGGTCAAATCCCGCATATTTTGCGTTTTTCCGAATCCCGCACGACTGTTGTTCGGTCAATTCCCGGATCCCAACAATGCCTTTCCAGACCCCGGTTTTGCGTCTGATTGGTAGACAGTACATACATTCACACCAGGGACCTCTTCGACCATGACCGTGATGGGGCTACGACAAAGTTGAAACATGCATGAGGGGTCACTGTTCCGCCATTGATCACGCCATCATATTTTACGACGCCAATAAATGGCCGTCCTCACTTGGTATACCATCCGATCCAGTGAATATTAACAAAATTAATATTTTTCTCGCGGATTTGGTTGTGAGAAACAAGCAAGAGGTGTTATTTTCGAGGACCTTCACAAGGAACCCCACCATCTCTCTCTCCCTTGTCTCTTAGGCAGGAGCGCTGGATGATGTCATAGCAAACAACTAAACGGATTTCAAAGGAAAGTTTCACGCGCTAAATACATGTATGTATCCGAAGAATCAAAGTAATTATAGTCAGGTTTCTTATAACTTTAATGGCTTGCTATCAGGACTATCAGATATCAAAGGAAGCTGAATTTACACCAAAATCATTTGATCTTTGATCGAGTAATGATTCTTCGAATGTTCTTAATTTGCTCCATTATTTACCAGTCACCCTTCCACTTCTTGAACAAACCGAAACAACATAGGATAGGGTGTAGGCAGCAAAGGAAGAGAAAATTCCTAATAACTGATGATCTAAACGTGGAAACGTGAATCAACAAAGAGGTCTCTCATGTTGAGATAATCAGAAATGAGAGGAAAGTCTCTCAGACTCCATTACCCCGAGAGACATTTGCTAGCGGAAAAATCAATGAACTGTATTACCTACCAAAGACACCAAAACCGCTTGATTGATCCTGACGTCAACTAAGAAACTAGTAAGCAGCTGTCACACTCCCTTCTTAGGTTTATGAAATGACAAACCTCACGATATTCCTGAGTTGAATACGCGGAGCAGTTTTAGCTGCCGACGACTGGTACAAGCAGCACAGCTAAGAGGGAAACTTCCCTTTTCTGAGAAAGCACTGTCATTCATCGGTTGACCTTCAACCGGAAATTCCTTGACCTACTATAACAAGTACTGGTTTTCACTTTCACGCCATCAAATCAAAATTTTTCAAGAAATAAAGAAATCATGGTGAGAAAGTGTGCGATATATATCTAGCCAAATTTTGAAAACGTTACTGCCAAATATACCTCTTTTCGGCCAAAAGCTTCAAAGTAGCAAATACAAAAACTAAGAGTAAGAGTGCTGTCATCACGGCTTTTTCTTTTCTCCTGCTTTCTTTATCCTCGCTCCGGAGGAGGGGGGATACTTCCTAGTAATAGGTTAATGGGGATGTGCCGCTGGATTGACTATAATGGGGTTACATTTTCATTAGAGTTACTAGAATGGGATCGCACTTTTTCGATATTTGGGGGATCAGAAAATTCAGGTTGGTAGGGATTTAAAATTGGGGAGATTTTTACAGCATTAAGTTTAACCAATGTGTCAATGACCTAGTTAAAAGACTTTTTGAGGTAGATGCGTAAACAGAAAGTTACTAAGTTGGGATAGCGAAAATTATAAGGTGACTAAGATGGGGTCTATATTTGGCCACAGAATAGACTATAGAATGGGGTAGGGGTTCTGAGAGGCCAGTGGTACATACCTAGCAAAAATTAATCCAAATAACCCCCGGGCCACGCTCATTCCTCTTCCCCTTTCCTTTTCCTTCGCTAATGTGATTTACGAGCTTATCGGGTGCAACCGCCCCTCCCCCCCGCGGGGAAAAACCTTACGTGGCTAGAAATCTCGGACATTGAATTTGGTGAGACTTACATTCGATCTGTCACGCAATGGACACCTCCGCTGGATTTTTGCGTGTTTTCGGGCTCATAGGTTTAGGACACTTTGAGTAGCGGAATTCAGAGTTGTTTGTGGTTCAACTGAAGCCGCTGACTGAAAGTATTGCCCATAAAAACTGTCCTTGAAACAAGCTTGTGAACGAGTGGTTTTGGGGGAAATTTGGATGAATTTTAACCAAGATATGGCACAGCGAAGATCTTGAGGTTAAGCCGAGGATGGCGTGGTCTATTTTGGCTTGTTTTAGACCACAAGAAAACGCATCAGCAACAGATTGCGGAGAGATGTCCTGTAGCGTTTCTCAAAGCTTGGCTTCAATAGAATCAAAATCGCAGTGAACAAATTTCAATTTACGTTACGGCGCAAACCGGGAGGCATTCATCGAAAGCTGGTTTTACTGTTTTGAGTATTCCGCCATACTGTCCTCATGGAAAAATTCTTCGGATCTTCAAAGATGAATAACGCATCGATTACGACTTGGAGAGGTGCAATTCTTTGCAATACTTTTAGGTTTCCTCGATTGCTAGCAGAGTCGCTGTGAACAGTGTGGATTTTTTCATTCAGTTAATGAGGTAGGATTGATTTTTTATCTTTTCTCCCACTAAAACCTATAAACATTGTGGGGGTGTACATAAATTTACTCTACGGGCGTATGGAAAAGCCGGAATCCGGAACCGGAGCCGGAACCGGAACCGGAACCGGAACTTAAATTGAGACCAGGGTAAACTGGGAAGCACTGAAACCAGTTTCCGATACCCGGGTGGGAATAAAATTCAAGATGGCATCCTCTGTTATCATTGTTTTGAGAAATTTTCAGCACAGTGATCGTGATACCAAAGGTATACTCACATTCGGAAAGTGACTAGCAAAAAAAAGGGAAGTGCATCCTACTGTTATTCCTAGCAGTCATAAACTGTGACTGCAGCTGTAGGTCGAGCAATTTTCAACAGATCGAGACTACAACTAATCAGAAGCCAATTGACTGCGAAAAACAGCCATTATGAGTATGTGACGTTTAAGACCGCTGTGTTATTCATTTCCTTCTCTTGAGCCTAAGTTACTCATTTCTTAAAAGCGCTCCGTGTTTCATCCATTGTGAGGAAAAGGCGGCAAAGGGAGGAGTACTCATGTCAATCATGATCCGAAGTTGCAACGCTCACGCGTACCGGTATATGAAATTCTCGAAGAAAAATTTTGAGCCGTACGCAAAAAATGCGACAGTAAAAAATATAATAACAATAAATAAATGTAATGTGGGGATGAAAAGTCTTGATCGAGCAATAATTGTTAGTGACACTCTTAAGACAGAAACGTCTCCAAGTTTTATTTCTTAGGTTCGGGTTCCAGTTCCGGTTCTGTTTCCATTTCAGGCTCCGGTTCCGGATTCCGGATTCCAGCTTTTCCATACGCCCTACTCTACAGTTTAAAGAAAAATTTAGCCATAAAGTCACTTTGTATATTCTACAAACTGAGAATTTAGCCATTAATTAACAGCTAAATATTCTCGTTATTAAATAACTTATTTAGCCATTATAAATAAAGGCTAAATACTTCCTCTCTATGTGTATTGGAAATAGTTTGCTGTTAATTAATGGCAAAAATTCTTAGTTTGTATAAATGTTAAAATTTAGTCGTTATTTAATAGCTAAATTTTTGCTTTGAAAAAATGCACAGTGACTTAACGGCTAATTTGTTTGCTATGTCTGTAGACAAAAATTGTTGCAAATTTAGCCATTGTGTAAACACCGACATTGTGGCCTTTTGTGACACAAGGTAATGCCAAAAATACTGTCTCGAGAGCGCATGCCAGTCCAAGATTTGTAGCCATGAACAAGCCCTTTGGCCCTTTTTCACCAAAATTGCTGCAAATTTTGCTGTGTTCCTTTCCAAAATTTTTTTTGGAACAAGGGAGGAAAAATACTACTGGTAACATAGATCATGTAAGCACAGGGCTGTGAGAGGTGGGGGGAGGAAAGTACTCAACCAATTTTCTCGACCAATATTTGGTTTTTATTAGACTGCAAGACAGTCCTTATTTTGTGTACTTTAGTACGCTTGAGCAACGCTAAACTGGTTTTGAGAAAAACCCGACTGTTTTGCAGTCTCAGTATTGGTTAGCCGCTGTGGGTTTGAATCCCTGACCCTATTTTGATGGTGCAAAAAAATCTAAGATGTATAGCTAGCATGCTTTGGACAACAGCCTTAGTTTTATTACCCTCCTGTTTAAGACAAAGGCCAAAACGTACGCTGTTGTCTTGTTTTAACGCCATTTATAACTTTTATTTGTTTATATTGCCATGCGAAGTGATAGAGCAAATTCCTTTTATAGTCATTGCTTTTGTATACTTGAAG